ATGACTTTGGCATGACTGTTCTGTCTGCTTTTGCAGTGGGGAGATACAAATGCTAAAATCACACCAATCTGAAAAAAAATCATTTCAAGTCTTAGAATGTCTTTGTCAAAGTAAATACAGATGAGAGGGAGAGGAAGGCTCTCCTGGGGACAGAGGTGTTTCTTTCTGTTGTATAGGATTAGTAGGAGGTTGAAAGTAGTAACTTGCCCCATGTGTTAGGAATTGGTGCTGTGAGGGGTCTAAACTTGTCTGTAGTTTAGATTTGCTGTTAAGTGTTGCAAGGAACAGGGAAAGCAAGTTAAGTTGCTCCTCACTCATTTTGAGGTACAGGTTTGTCTGAAATGAATGCAAGTTTGTCTCCAAGTTTGTACTGAATTGAATGCACCAAAGTCTTTTATATTGAATGACCTATGGTTCAGGGAGCGAGGCTAAGATAATAGGAGAAATTAATTAATTTTAAAAGTTGTACACAAAGTTGTAAAGTTGTACACTAATCTTATTGATTCATGAGCCATAATATATAAAATACTGGCTGCAGGTCTTAATAAACGTATAATAAATTGTGGAAGTAGTCGGCTTTGGCTCTGAAAGCTGGTGGAGGTTTGAGTCATTTCTGAAACCACTGAGTAGGGAACTATTTATCCCTTGGCACTGAGCTGAGGACATATGTGGTAGTGACCTGCAAGCTGATTAAAGTGTTGTGCTGGATTAGCATTAGCACCATGGCTTTATACGTTTTACAGCATTAATATGTTATCTATTAAAGTAGGATTGTCAAATATATTTTGTGTGTTTTAGGCCTGTAAAAATGCTTATAGTCTATTATTAGTGCTTGTTTAAAACTTGAAATAAATATGTTTAGACTAGAAGTTTTAAGTTGAATGTTTTTAAAAGCCAGGTTCTCAAATTCATTCTTAGTCATCAAGCTAAACAAAGCTTAATTCTCAGAAGTACTGAAAAGCTGTTCTGAATTCACTGAAAGCTCTGAAATTTTGCATGGGTTGATGCCCTCAGGATCAAGTCAGAGAGTAGGAAAAAGGCCTGACAGAGCAGATAACTTTCCCAAAGAGAATAACAAGAGAAACACTCAAAAGATGTGAACAAGGACGAGAAGCAAAGGGCAGCAATAGAAGTCACAGCTAATGGCAATATGTATTTCTTCATTCAGTGCTATTGAAAATGACTTCATACTCACTTAATGGTTTGTTGCTATTAAAGGGCCACATTTCCTCCTTTATTCCTGCAGGACTCTTGCTGTGGATTGTAGAGAATATTTACATCTCAATTTATTTCTCAGACCATTGGCCATAATTAAAAGTGGAATTTGGCACTCTTCAGAGTCCCTGCTGGAGACTTTCACCTTCTAGAAGAAAGGGGATTAGACATGATGATTTATTGGGCTCATGTAGAGTCCCCTGACTGTACTGTGGCACTGAGCCGAAAGAAAGCTGAAATGGTATCCAGTCCTCTCTGGCAACTGCTCACACCATGAGCAGAGCAAATCCTATCCCTATAATAAAACCTTGTCCTGTTTCATCCAAATTTTCCTAAGTTTCTGATGTGTGTGGGCTTTTGGTAGCACAAAGTTAGTGTTGGAGAAGACAGCGTCTGCCTGACAAGGCAGGGTATGCCTTTGTGAGGCTGCAGTCTGCGTCTGTGTTTATGTTGTCACGGTGTGCCTTAAGCTGTGCCTACCAGAAAAAAAAAAAGGCAGAAAACAATTTCCTAACATCATCACACTCCATCGTAGAGAGGGAATTGAAATGCTGTTCAGAATCACAGCTATGACATTTGATCGTTGCTCTGTGATTGTTTTTCAGGTTTTTTAGGACCCCTTAGGTACAGAAGCCAAACAGAAATGCAGTCATGAATCTGGCAGTGGCTTGCTTGCTTGCTTTTTTCTCCCCTGCAAAGCCAGACGAAAAAAAGGAAAACGTATGTTGTGCCCAGCTTCTACCACAGCATTAAAAAAAAAAAGAAAAAGTATTTCTTTGGGGTGATTGTTCTGGGAGAGTAGATGGTAAGCCAGCTCTTTGTTAGGGTGAGCTTTCAGGTGTCTGTTGAAACACCTCGAAGCAATTTACTGCTTTGTTTGATGCTTTTAAGTGTGCTGTTTTTGGACTTTGAGTTCTTTGTCATCACTTGATCATAGTGAGGGAGAGCACCTTGATTAAAAAAAAAAAAGCCTATTTGTACCAAAACAACTTTTTCATCAATTCAGAGTAGTCACGCAACATGCCTCAGAGGAAAAGATAGAACGATCCAAACGGAGGAATACGTCTGGCAAGAGCTGTTTCCTCTGTAGGGAGTTTGCTGGTGGCAGGACGATGTGCTGGGACTGAAGTGTATTAATTTCTGCAACGCCTTATTGCAAAAGTTTCTTATGTCCAGGATGAAATCTGATCAGAAAGAGAAAAGAGGAAAAAATAAAATAAAACAAAACAAAACAAAAGAACACCCTAGAGAAATGGCTTTTAGAACAGGCAAACTACATGGTGTAGCTGATGGGGAATCATGCCTTACCTTTAGGTCCTTGGTCTAATTCAGGCACAGCAAAAACTTATACCAGTTTAGTGACATCCAGGCTATTTATGTTATTTATTGTTATTACTCACTGAACACTTGTTTTAGGGTTGTTTCTGTCGATAATGTGAACTCCTTGAGTATTACACTTGTTTTGATATCCTCCAGACATCTTTTCCAGCTAACAGAGCTGTGCTTTCCATGTGCTATGACTTGCCAGGGGTGCTTTTTCACAGTTCAGAAGTGTCTTCAACATTTGACACTTCCTTAGCATAGTGAGGAAAGGTGAATACATATAAAAGCTGCTTGTAGAAACCATTCCCCTTGGCAAGTCCGCTTCAGCTGGGCCATGTAACTGAGAGAAAATACAACAAACACTTTCCTTGAGTCAAAGAATTTTTCAGTCTGTCTCAAACCTGATTGTCATTGTATTTTTCAACTCTTAGAAATCAGGAATACTTAAAGGTGATCCATGTGCTGCAGTGTCACCAGTACATGATCCAATTACTGGAAGCAGGTAGACTGTCTGAGAAAGAAAATGGGTGTATATCTGACTTAAATAGTGCTTCTCCAGATTGCTTTTGGGCAAATATTCAGTATTTTCATTACGCACTCACTTCCCAGACAGTCTGTGGTATACCTGAGAGAGAGAACCGTCTTGTGTCTGTGTTAGGAAAAATCCCACATAACGTTGTCTTCGTATTTTAAGATTGTGAGCAGAAGGGACTGAACATGTGGCAAAATTAATAACTGGGTAGGATTCATACTTTCATCCTTAATTAAAGACAAGTGGGTATGTGAAATACATTTCCTCAGGGCTGTGGTGGAGTAATATCCACACATGTAATTAATCTAGCTGCTGGAAGTCACAATTTCACCACTAAAATGAAACAGAAAGACACCAGTGAACAATATGGGCACACTCCAACATTCATTGAAGTCAATGGGAAACTTGTCTTTTCACTTCAAAGGGTGTTGGACTGAACCTGGCAAGATCATATTAAAACACTTACAAGTCATTAAGCATTTACTCTTGCCATACTGCAGTATCAGAGCTAGAAAAGCCATAGGTGGATTTTAATTTGACTCACTGCCTACAGTTTTAATTGCTCTGTGTTGACACAGTTGGCTGCATAGGGTTGGATTAGGTGGTGATTTGTCTGATGATTTGTTGTGTTTCACTGCTGCCTCATGATATGCTCTTTATAGTCTTGTTTCTGTGTATGTGTCGTCATCTTGTATGCTGATACAATCCTCACTGAAGTTATTACACATGATCTTCTGTGAGAGCAAAACTAGTAGCTTCTGTGAATTTTAGCATTGCTATTTTCTAATCTCTTAATGGCAGAACTCCTACCCAAGGGAGTAGGAGTGGTAGACGCTGAAGATGTTGATGTCTCATCCCTTTGAGGTATTCAAGGTGAAGTTGAGAGTTGGCCCATTTGAAGATTGGTTGTCCTTACTTATGGTATTTATCACCTCAATCTGCATTAAATTTACACACAGTCTTTTAACTAGCTGAAATTTAAGAGGGATGTTTGCCCATGAAAAGGTAGGATGTCTGCCATTTTTATTTCCTGGTAAATTGAATTTTGGAAGTCAAGACTGAACAGAGCACAATGAGCGTTTTGTTCTTATTCTATCAGACAAATAATGTGGCACCACTTATAGTATTTCTGGTGTGAAGCCTAGAATGCAGTGATTCAAAGAAACTGAAAAACTTTCTTCCATATTTCCTGCAAATGTTACTGCTCTGAGGGTGGAGAAAGCTTGAGTTTTCCTTTCAGAATCATGCTGGAAGATGGCTTCTCTTGCCCCTGCGTGTCTGTAGCCTTATTTTTTATAGCCACATTTAACCATTTAATAATTTCATTAGTACTTGGGGGGGGGGGGGAGCATGACAAAAAAAAAAAAATGAAAAACACAAAAAAACAAGGCCAGATGGTTTCCTTTTTTTTTTTTTTTTTTTTAAATACGTGGTGCACAGTAGAGGTGACTTCAAAGTTGAGGATTTAGAAATCCCAGAGAAAACTCACTGTTTGCTTCCAAATTTTGCAGTACTAAAGGAAATGCATCCTAATTTAAATCTTTTTTTAGGAAGTGTTTTGGTTTTATTGAAAAACACTTGGTTTGCAGGTGTGGCAAATGGGCCAATGACTTCAGTGGAACGAAGAGTACCAAAAGAGTAACTAATTTTTTGTTGTCTTTGTTTTGATCTGTCTTGTTTTGGTATAATGTGCTTTTTCCTGTTTGGCACTGAGCAGACCAAGGGGAACAGAAGTCTGCTTCATGTCTGCAGTGTTGAATATAAGTTCCGCTTAAATTGTGTGTATAATTGTTTTATATGTGTGTATGTATATATATGTGTGTGTATATATATATATATATATATATATATATATATATATATATGTATGTATATATAAATCTGCTTGCTTGTATGTGAAGGTAATATCTCTGTCCACTTTCTTTTACAGAGAAGAGTCAAAGATGTCATATCTCCAATTGTATTTGAAGCTGCTTACAGTCTTGGGGAGCATGTGCTAGAAAGAGGTAAAGAAGACAAGGAACTACCTCCTCTCAAGCCCGTTCTCCGCTGGAAGAAAGGACAAAAGATAGCACAAAGGAATCAGGTCAGGTTTGGACTATGTTATTGCCCCAGGCCTGTGGCACGCTCTAATCCTGAGCTGACAGAAGTGGATGTAAAAGATGATGGCAAAGCTTAGAGCCATTTGTACCCAGTAGTCTTTTTGTACCGTCCCTCCTGTTTCTGATGTCATTACTCTTCCATGAGGTAGTGAAGAATTGTGCTGACAGGGTTGGGTAGCAAGAAGTGAAGTCACTTGTTTCAAACTGTTTGTTCTGGGCAGAAAGAGATAAAATGAGGGAAAGGATGAGAAAAGTGCTGCTCCTTCTGGTCCTTCTGGTTTTTCCCTTTCTGAATGATGGAAGTTTTTCTCATGAAAGACTTAGCCTAAGCTTTTCTTTTAGGTTAAGGCTTTGTTAGTCTTGTAGGGACAGGGTTGGGTCCAGGAGGGGACACGGGGTCTTTACCAATCTGCAGGATGGAAGAATGATGGATGGAATAAAGAATACCTTGCTTGGCCCACTGCCCTCTTTTCTTGAGGGCTCCTCGCATCCAATCATGTGTCAGGGGTAACCCCTTCTGCTGTTGTTATTGCAGAAAATGCCTTGCTGAAATAGTGACTCTGTTTCAGAAAAAGTGAAGTGTAGGTACAACAGTGTATAAATAGGATCTTGTTTTGCTCCTCTGCATTTCAGAACAGTCTCTTTTTATTAATTTTGGTCAGAACAAGAGAGTTCATATAATTTTCAAACACTCATCATTTATAGAGTGGGGATCCTTCTTTCCCCCAAAATATTCCCTTAGGAAATGAAGTGTACATGGTCGGGCTGCCTGTCTGTCTGTCTTGACCTCACTAGTATCTTTGGAAAATGTTGGGCCATTTTGACAAGAATTATCAAGACAGTGCTTATGAAGGTATTAAGCATATTCAAGGTTCATGAAAGCAGGTCAAGGAGAGAGACCCCATTTGTGACCTTTCAAAAGGCTCCAGTTTGTGTGTGGTCCTTGTAGGTGCAGGACAGCCTGCCAAGGAAGGAGCCTGCGGGACAATTCCACCTCCTGCTGTGCTGGGACTGGAGCATCCAACCGTGAGGCTTGAGGCTCTGCGGGAAAATCAGACTACTGTGGCTTGCAAAACTTCTTCATTTGCAGCATCACAGGGTAATTTAGACTAGAAAAGACCTTTGGAGATCCAGTTCCTTGCTCAAAGCAGAGCCAACATAAAAGCTAGATCAAGTTGCTTGGGGTTGTATCCAATCAAGTTTGATTTCCAAAGCATGCTTACAGAGTTACGATCTGGTATAGCTTCTGAATAGGAAACCTTTTTTATTTTCCTTTAAGCTCTGAAAAGTTTGTCTGGAATTTTAGGCTTTTAACTGGATTGTTAAATCTGTTTTTTAACCTTGGGAAGTTTGATATATAAAGAGATGCTTCCATCATCATCTGTAGCATTGCTTTCTGATGCTGCTCGTACGGATATTCTACAGGTCCTATAAACCTACAGGTCCCTAAATACTACTCAAGAAAAAAAAAAAATGCTTTGTCATATACCCATGTACATATATACTTATATACATATACGTGTTTGGAATTGCATCTTGCTGTAATTCTTGTACTTAGAGAACTGAGTATTTAATTTATGTTTAAGCAAATGGATGACAAGAGAATCTAATAATTATTTTATGAAGAGGGATGGTGTGTCTCTTAAGTACCTGAATGTTGCATTGTTGCAAACATACAATAGGAATTTGTAGAGAACTTTGAAACCTGTGCACTGTGATGGAAACTGAATGTTACATGAACTAAACTGGTTGGACACTTTAACTACTGGCTTTAAATTCCAAAGGTCACATTTTGCCCTGCAGGCATACTCTCAGATCAATATTAAAATACCTAAATACTGAGATTATAAAGCAGATATGTTGGGAATTTCCCTGACTTGTTTTCTTGTGTAATTTGGATGAGAGGGAGCCAGTTTAACAATCCCTTTCCATTTGCTTCCCAGATGTTCACTTAGCTTAGTAAGAAAAGGATTTTGACATGGGGTGTGCCTACAAGTGTGCTTTCCACTAAGGAAGTGTGCAGAGCTTCGCTTTCAGCGTAGCAGTCATGGTGACAAAGCCCTGGCTGAGTAGCCTTGAGGCACTGACAGGATCCTCAAAGACTGATTTCATGGAAACAGCGGGGCTTAGTGTTCTGTTAAGATTCTTGTCATCTTGCAAGCAGAATTGTTTTTAAAGGCCAAGAGGAATAGTAGGAAACAGTTTACGTAACAAAGGACTTGCATTTTCAAAGAATATAACAATTCTGGAGAGACCTTATGTTTTGGAAATCCAACTCAGAAAAGGTCTAGTAGGTTCTGTTTTCAGAAGATCCAACTCCCTCTGAATATTAGCTCCAGATAACATTGAGATAAGTACTTAGCAGGAGAAACATAGGTACCACATTTAGCTTGTGAAATCAGCAAGATTTCAAAAGGGTAGAGGCAGATGGACAATATAGTATTAATGCCAATACTGAAGTTTTTAAATGTGGTGTGTGATTTCAGAAGTCCTAGATCCTGTTGATCCAGTGAGAATTGGCATTTTGAAGTTGGAAAGGTTGCATCTGTTGCTTCAAGGTACCTGTTGTTACAGGTTAATGCTTTGCTGGTAAGCTCAGGTGGCTAACTTCTGTGAATGAAGGTGGCAGAAGATGATGGAAATAAACAGCTGATGAAATAGGAGGGAGCTGTAACTGGGCAGGAGAGGGGGAGACTTCCATCTGTTAATATCCTACTTCAGGTCTGTTAGACCCACTTGAAAAGCCACACATCTTGCAAACATGCGGGCTGTATAGTCACTTAGATATGTTTTTATTTAAGCTAAAGTTATGTCAAAGCTGAAGTGATTGCTTTTAGAGGATTTTAGTTTGTTTTTCATGACCCAGATGTTCCCTGCACGTGTGTATGACTTCCCTCAAGGAGAATTACAGCACTATGGTTCACAAACAAGCAGGTAGGAGAAAGTATCAAGTAACCTCTTGATGTAAGTATTAAAGGTTATATTGAGCATACAAAGTTCTTTGTGGCACTTTGCACCAATGTGTTGATGAGTCAACTTGGAAACAGTTCATAGGCACCCGCCAGTGGGAAGATGTATCCCTTGCTGATGGCATAGCCACTAAAGAGGATTATGTTGGGTATTAATTCTTTAAATCAGTTCTTTAAATCATTACTTTGTATGTGAGAAAACTGTCTTGTCCTAATTGATTAGACTGGAACAGAGCTAGAGTAGTAAAGGAGTGCATTGATGTGGTTTTCATTCAGAATGCCTTAACTTATTTAACTTATTTGTTATCATGTTTATTTTAAAATAATGCAACTTCCAATGTAAGGCAGTGCAAAAAGATGCTTGTATTTAAAAACAAATATACCCATGACTGTTCAGGAAGGGGAGCCTCCTTTTCCTAAATGATCTGGCCTTAAGGCAATCAGAATATGATAAATATTTTGAACTTCTGAGTAATTTGAGGAAAAGGATCTTCATAGAAATTTCCTGATGAGCATGATGCTACTGTGGGACTTCATGCATTGGCTTTTTTCTAAGCAAAGAGGCTCTCCTAGTTCAAAATAACATAACTAAACTGGCCCAGGATACAGCAACAGTTGATTTCTCACTAACTTAGTCATTTTCTAGGGTTCTTGTATATGCTTACCAGAAACTATGGTTGCTATAGCTTGGTGTAATCATTTGTGGTAGCAAAAGCAAATACTTATGGGCTATGTTTTCATGTTTATTGATAGATGCCTTGGCAACTTTTGTACAATTGTTGGGTGGAGACTGGTTATGTGGAGATGATTACAGCCTTCCAAGTTGTCAGTGGCTAGCCAGCTCAGTTTTGTTCAAACAGAAAATCTCTAATGGATCAAGGTTGGGTGGAGAAACAAAGATTTTACTTTTTGAGTGTGTATTATAAACTTCCCACCCTGAGGATGGCTTTCCATTAGCTTCCTCATTGCCTTCCAAATCCAGTTGCTACCTCCATCCACTGGAAAAAACTAATAAATTTTCTTACTTCAGGGAAATTAATGTGTATTTAGAACATGGTTTGGCTTCGCTCATTGTAAGTGGTTTGTACTATAACATTTATTTTTGCATACCCACTGTATAAATACATGTCAACCAGGAAAGACAAAGATCTCCTGCCAAATACAGCGGGGATTTGTTCTAGCAGTATCCAGTAATGTATCTTAGAGTCTAAAATGTGGTATGCTAGAATTCTGTCTGTTTTGAATACTGTAATAAAATCACCTGCTGTTATGTGGATGGAGACACCATTTTGTTATAAGAAAATATTCTCAGTAGATTTAATTGCGTCAGCATCTTCAGGATTTTGGGAATGGTCTGTCATAAAACTGCTTATGAGAGACAGAAAATGTTTAGGACGTTCTGTTCTCAGCTATGTCAGACTTGCAGTGAGAGTCTGGGTACGGTGCTGCATCTCTGGGTGTCTGAGGCTGCACGTCTCTAGGTCAGGCTTCACATTTTAAAATCAAAGCACTATTTTTGGAAATGTGTGTTTGAAAAGTATTTGGACATAAATTAGCTTACTTGACAGGTATGAGAAAGCATAGGAATATTTTTATGAAGCTGAATTATGAACACCTGTAGTAATTTTGGCTTGCTGCATTAATAATGGCACCCTGTTTTTTAAAACATCCCCCCAATCAATATCTCATACTGAGCACAAGGCAGTGACAGATCTACACACGCTGAAATGTAGTGTTCATCCACATGGCATGATCCAGGTTTGCCAGTGGCACCTCTTCCAAAGCACAGAGATGCCAACATGCCTGCTTAAGTCAGATCAGGTCTCCACCAGCAAACTGAACTGTGCCTGGTGTGTTTCTAGGCATTGGAGTGACATCTCTATCCTGGTAGGCTGCTGGAGTGGCTCTTGCCATGGTTTCAACCTGTGCCAGCTACTGCAAACCATTCCCAGGCATGGGTCAGCTGCTAGAGTGCTCCAAGTGTCTTTCCCTGATACAGCTGAAGCCTCAGTAGC